AAAAGAGAGGAGGATTCACAATAGCTAGAGTAAGTACATCCTCAGTCTCTTTTACTAATTCACAAACAACCTTTCAACCTCAAAAAAAGGGGGAAAAGGACATAAGGGGTAGTGGTAGAGCTATGATCCAAGGAATACTCGAGAACATATTCCTAAATGCGCTCCCCTTTGGCTTTCTCTAATTAAACAAGGCATAAATCTTTCTGTGCAGAGCTTGAGACTTTTCATTGCTCCTTACTTTCCAAGCCACCCTCTCTCTTCTCAGGAGAATAAGGCTCATCCAAGAGTGAGAAGTGCTTTTCAGGTTAATTCTCCAATGGGGAGGTATCTCCTCCATTTACAATCCATGGATGCCCTGGAATTAACAAACAAGAACTCATCACATTAGAAAGATATGTCTTGTTTATTATCATGTTCTAAACTAACTGTCAAATACCATTGAATTCTTGTGATTTACTTAGCTATACTAGAGAAATAATCGACTCAAACATAAAATAAAACAGATTATTACAAAGTGATAAGAAGCCATATTTTTTAGATCACAAAACATTTTTGCCATGAGAAAATTGCTCAAAAATACCCCACATAAGAGGAATCCAATAGTATTTGTTCAAACATCACAGGAGGCAATTTATTTTTCTTGACAGCATATAATGAGAAGCACAAATGGTGTTGCAAGGCAGAGATATGAATAGAGGAACAATCCTATTAAAATCATCTCATTCTATGTTGTTAAGGAAAAACAAGGGGCAATTAGAGCTTACTGAGGACTTGCTCTGCAGAGAGCCTTCTAGAAACATCCCTGCAAATCATCTTCCTCAACAGATCCTTGGCCTCAGCCGACACAGATCGGAAAATCTTCGTCGGGAACCTCAAATTCCCCCTCAGAACTGCCTCAAAAGTCTCCGCCGGACCATCCCCGTAGAACGGCGGCACTCCGGCGAGCATTATGTACAGAATCACACCCGCGCTCCACACGTCCACCTTCTCCCCGTACTCCCTCCCCGACAAAACCTCCGGCGCCACGTAGTACGGCGTCCCCACGACCCCGCTCATCCCGGAATCCCTGAAAAACTCGGCGGATCCAAAATCGGCCAGCCTCAGCCTCCCCCGGGAGTCGAATAGGATGTTGTCCGGCTTGATGTCACGATGCGCCACCCCCATCCGGTGGCAGAACGCGATGGCCGTCATCAGCTGCCAGAGCACGGCGGCGGCGTCCGGCTCGCGGAACGGGGCGCCGGAGGAGATCCGGTCGAACAGATCGCCGCCGTCGCAGAGGTCGGTGACGATGTGGACGTACTCGTCGTCCTCGTAGGCGGCGTGAAGGCGGAGGATGTTGGGGCAGCCGGAGAGGAGGTGGAGGATCTTGGGCTCCGTCTCGAGGCAGCGGCGGTCGGCAGGATCGGGGGAGAGGGAGGCCTTGCGGATGGATTTGCAGGCGAAGGGTTCCCCGTCGGCGGAGTAGCAGCGGTGGACGACGCCGAAACGGCCGCGGCCGAGCTCCTGGCACAGCTGGTAGTCTCGATTGAGGGCTTCACACATTATAATGGGGGTTTTCTGGTCGGCGATAGTTGGGTTGGGGTTTATTTATAGGGAGAGTATATTTCGCTGTGGAAAAGGAATATTCCATCGGGGACAAGAGGGGTATAATGGTATTTTTAGCTCCGGTGAAAGGGGCAAGTAACTGTTGCAACTTGCAACGGGTGTCGCAGCCGCGGGCGTGAGCGGTGACGTGTGCAAAAGCTTAAGGAGGTGGCAAATTTGGAGACCTTTTTCTTTTTCTTTTTCCTTTTACCTTTTTCTTTTATTATTAATTACTTTTCTACTAGTAGTATTTTTGTGTATAATTAAAAAAAATATTTTATTTTTATTTTTATTTAAAATAATAATCAAGTGTAAGGATTTATTTATTTATTTAAAAATAAAAAGAAATTAAGTGGACAAAAACCAAAGAATTTAAAATGATGCGGACAAAAATTAAAATCACGTATTTTAAGAATACGTTTTTATTTAAAAAAATGTATTTTCAAAATACGTTTTGTATAGAATAAAACGTATTCACATAATACGTTTTAAAAAAAATTAATTAATAAAATGTATTTTTATTATACGTTTTACAAATAATTAAAAACCAAACAAATAATTAAAAACTAAAATATATTATCATAATACGTTTTATTTCTTACGTTTTATAAATAATTAAGAAATAAAATGTATTTTGATAATACGTTTTATATTTCAAAATTAATGAATAAAAAAATTAATATATAGTATGTGTTTTGTGTTTTTGACTCGTTTGGGCTCGTCTGAACTCGAAATTGAGTTTCGTTTTTTCCTATACGTAGCTAACGAACCTCTCTATTCAATGATGCATACATGACTAAATTATTCTTGAAATCATATTCTCCTAAAGCTCTTGACCTACACATTAAACGTGTTTCACGCGACTTTGATTTTTGGGCCCGTTCGGACTCGTCCAAGCTCGAATTTGATTTCCGCTTCTTCTTATATGTCGCCAATGAACCCATCTACACAACCATGATTGCCCGGTCAATTTTTGGGCTAAATCCATTCCTCACGGGCTAAATAATTAACAAATTATCCATTATACAAATAGATGGTCCATGGAGGATTTGTTAATAGGTGATTTGTTAATTATTTAGCCCGTGAGGAATAGATTTAACCCGAAAATAGACCGGGAAATCATGGTTATGTAGGCGGTTCGTTGGCGACATATAGGAAGAAACGGAACACAACTACGAGCTTGGACGAGTCTGAACGGGCCAAAAATAAAGTCGCGCGAAATACGTTTAATTGGTAAGTCAAGAGCTTTGAGAGAATATGATTTAAAGAATAATTTAGTCATGTATGCATCATTGAATAGAGGGGTTCGTTAGCTACATATAAGAAAAAACGGAACTCAATTCTGAGCTTAGACGAGTCCGAACGGGCGTTGTTGTCGTTCGCGGTCACGGCGTCTTCTACCTCCACCAATGTTGGCAGGGGGTTGATGCCTCGCCCTCTGTGACTGTGTATTCTGGGATGGGACGTAGTCCTCCTCGAATATAACTTGACTGAACGACGCTCCTTGTGTGACCTCTTGGCCTCCAACAGTCAGAGAACTATAGGCAATGTTGTAGAACTGTTGGTCAGATAACTATAGGCGATGTTGTAGGACTTGTTGAAATGTGGCCTGCGCCCGTGGAGGGAGTGTAGGAAATATGTCTTGAATATTTGCTAACGAGTTATAAACCCCCTCCAGGGCTTGAGTATAAAAATAAAATTTAAAGTAATTAGAATGAAACACACACAAAAAAATAATAAAAAAAACCACAAATTATGAACACTTACATCACACTTCTTCCGCTCGGAACTGTCTGATAGTCGTCGTCCTGTTGGACCACCGTGTACTTGGTAGGGTCACTGATAAGTCTTACAGTCCTAGTGTAAAACCAATCAATGTAACCCTACTCAGCTTGTAGAAAGTGATCCACATGGGCATCTTGGAGGACATTTTGTTCTCTTTCATCGACTCAGCCCTTGGTAAGCTGTGAATGAAAGCTGTGAATGAAAGGCGGCTCGATCACCAAATGCCCTCCCAGTCATTCTACGGCCTCTGTGGTGTGTCTCTCATTCTTGCTCACCACTAATCCTCGGATTTTGGGGGATGGACTGCTGACACCCAAACTGACGGAGAATCTTATCAGATAAGTGGACTTCACGTATGTTTCAACAGAAGATCCACCTCCTATACATCCAAATATGTTGATCTTCTGTGTACTCATCTGGGAGAGTACCTATAGTTCTCTGACTGTAGGAGGCCAAGAGGTCACACAAGAAGCGTCGTTCAGTCAAGTTCTATCCGAGGAGGACTATGTCCCATCCCAGAGTACACAGTCACACAGGGCGAGGCATCAACCCGCTGCCAACATTGGTGGAGGTAGAAGACGACGTGACCGCGAACGACAACAACGCCTGTTCGACTCGTCTAAGATCGGAATTGAGTTTCGTTTTTTCCTATATGTAGCTAACGAACCCCTCTATTCAATGATGCATACATGACAAAATAATTCTTGAAATCATATTCTCTCAAAGCTTTTGACCTACACATTAAACGTGTTTCGCGCGACTTTATTTTTTGGGCCCGTTCGGACTCGTCCAAGCTCGTAGTTGAGTTCCGTTTCTTCCTATATGTCGTCAATGAACCCGCCTACTCAACCATGATTGCCAGGTCAATGTTCGGGTTAAATATATTCCTCACGGGACTAAATAATTAACAACTCACCTATTAACAAACAAATCACCTATTAACAAATCCTCCATGGACCATCTATTTATATAATGGGTGATTTGTTAATTATTTACCCGAAAATTGACCAGGAAATCATGGTTATGTAGAATGGTTCCTTGGCGACATATATGAAAGGCGGAAATCAATTTCGAGCTTGGACGAGTCCGAACGGGCCCAAAAAGAAAAATCGCGCGAAACATTTAATGTATCGGTCAAGAGCTTTGGAAGAATATGATTTCAAGAATAATTTAGCCATGCAAGCATCATTAAATAGACGGGTTCGTTAGCTACGTATAAGAAAAAACGGAACTCAATTCTGAGTTCAGACGAGCCCAAACGAACCCAAAATACAAAATACATACTACATATTATTTTTTTAATAATTTTAAAATATAAAATGTATTATCAAAATATATTTTATTTCTTAATTATTTATAAAACGTATTATGATAATACGTTTTATTTTTTTAATTATTTATTAAACATATTATCAAAATACGTTCTATTTATTAATTTTTTTATAAAATTTTTTCAATTATTTAAAAAAATAACATTTTACAAATATAATTTTAAAATGTATTACCATAATACGTTTTTTAAAAAAAAAATTAATTAAAAAAACGTATTATGAAAATACGTGTTTTTTATTTTTATCCATAATTTTTTTTTCTTTTTATTTTTGTCCAATTATTTTTTTTTTT